AAAAAAAGAGGCAACTATCTTAGTCAGTTTCAACAACAACAGAAGAGTTTTTTTCACAATTTAAACTTTAATTAAAAAAAAAAGTAGCCTATGTTCTAGATTAACCTCTATGTTAAGAGTATGTCAGGTTGTTATCTAATTCAGTTCATTATGTTAATAATACATTACCTAAGAGAGTGAAGCAATGTTCACCTCCCTGAACAGAAAACTACATTTTTATTCCAAAAGCAATCTGTTAATGCAAAAGATGCACAATACTTTTTTTTTCCCCCCACAAGTTAAAAAAAAACAGCAAAGGATGAACAGGACTGTTTTCTTTTTCAGCAACAAGGGTTGTTTAATGAGTTAGTGAAACAATAGTCCCTCTATGTCATAAGAAAATAAGAAGTAGTTAGTAGTGTTGGGATGTCTGGTTATTAGGCACAGACTGCAAGGATCATGAGCTCCCATAAGATCACATGGAAACTTGCCTGCAAGAAGGGCTGCAAGACCTCACACTATGTCAAAATACTTGCTAACACAGAGGAGATTCTGTGGTCAAGGTCTGTGACTAGTACTAGTGACAGAAAAGCGTGCAAGGAGCCTGCCAAAATTAAATTCAGACTATGAGGCAGGAAGCTACAGACCAGAACCTCAGTGCAGTTCTACATCCAAAGCCCAGGGGGAGGCAGAGATCCAATTTCAATGCAAGAAAGAAGAAACAGAACAGAAAGGGGGAACCTCCAGACAGCAGGACCAAAGGAACTTCCTGGGACAAGATGCTGGGCTGCACCTTTAGGAAGGGCTGCACCTAGGTTTAAATGGGGCCAGTTAGTCCTGTTCCTCCTTGTCCTTCCCCAGGCATGTTCCCAGCTATGTGACCTTGCCTTGTGCTGGATTTAATGCCCCTTTGATTCCTTAGTAAAACAATTCAACTATCTTAAACCCATAGAAAATTAACAAGGTAAAATTAAATACATAATATCCTGATCATTTAGGAAGTTGAATCAGGTCATTTGGGGAATCAAATAAATGAAAATAAAGACTTATTCAGAGGAATTGAGCTGTTAGGTTCGGTCAGTTGACTTCCCACAGACTCACCATGATGACAGTGCCTTTTTGTAGTCAATGGACTGTGTTAAGAATATGGTTTTACCTTACACACCCAGCCAAGACTTCCCCTAAACCTGTTCATTACTGGAAGGTAATGAAACTTGATTAATCAGGAAAAAAGAGAAAATTCTTACTTGTTATCTTCTGCAGTTTGAATTAAATTATTTTAAACAGTGATGTTCTCATCTTCTTCGCATGATTATGAGCAAAAATCTGAACCATTTAATGTTTTCAGATGTATGTATATAAATACACTGTGCAAACTCTTGACTAAGTAAATTGTACTACCCTATTGTTTTTTTTTTTACTATGTGTTCAAACTCTTTAGGATTAGGAAACTATATGTATTCTCAATCTTGCATGGCATTTTAACCTAGATTTTATCTTACACAAGTAATTTAAAATCCAAAGACTCTGTCCCCACAACATCCTGTGGAATAAGCAAGAGATACTGATTTTCAGCCAAAGTTGCACAACAGATTCTATTTAAGGTCAGAACTTGCCAGCAGATGTCATTGTTGCTCTATGCAACTTGAGCAGAAAATATTTTTCAGAATTCCAGTCAATCTTGCCGGAGGGTGAAAAATATTTCTTCAGGTGGTATAAAAACCTTCCAGAAAATGGGCAACTGCTTACGAGTATTTACATTTTTAAGTAATACATATCAAACTAACATACACTTCTCAAAACTTGATCCTCAGCAAATGCTCAATAAACTTATCTGAGAATCTTGGTTCTTACTAAAATGGCTGAAAACTGACGCGCATTAATACTGGGAGTGAATTGTAAGAACAGTCAGATGTGTGATGCAACATTTTACCTGTGTGGTAGCTTGATCAAGTTGTGTTCTCATTCGAGTCAGTTTATCTCTGGTTTTGTTCAGAACTTTATCCTTCTCTGTTAATTCCAACTTCATTCTGTCCAGCTGCAGTTCTGTCTCTTGATGTTTATTCATATGGGATTTCTTCACTTTTTCTTGAGCTTGCAGTTGTTGTTCTAGGTCTTTAACAGTGGAATTTAACTCTGAATATTAAAAACAGTAAAGATTAAGGATACTTTTCTGCCTTGAAAGGTATGTCATCCAGGTACTCAAATTTCCAAGTGTCTACACATTTGTAAAACTATCAAGACTGGAAGACAGCTGACCCTAAATCAATCATTTTCACTTCATAATCTATTTTATTTATTTTTTTATTTTTAAAAGGAGAGATAACCACTACAAACATTTGTTTGCTGCCTCTGCTTCAGGGAGGCTTTTCAGCTATTGGACAACTGTAAATACAGTATTTTATATTTTAATCTTTTCCTGTCCCAAAGCAGCACGCACATAAAGCGAAACCAAGTGATCTTGTCACAATATACATCAGTAAGAGTTCCAAAATCACAGTTTAATTTTTCAGTAAAAAATATTAGTCAGCTACAGGAAGTGTTATCCAGAATTACTACTATCTAGTAATTCTTTTTATTAAAAAAAAAAAAAAAAAAAACCAAAAAACCCAAAACAACAACAAAAACAAACAAAAAAGACCCAAGCCAAACTGTCTTCCTGATGTTGAATTTATATAGCTTCCAAGTTGAAAACGCTGCCTAGGTTGAAGTTTTACATGTAGGTATTTCAATAAACAGTTTGGACAGTACAGGAACTTGTAAAACAGTTCTACAAGAAACAGTGAGTGGAAAAGCTGGTCCAAATAGTAGGCTTAAGTAAATGTTCACCAAATCCACAGCAAACCATTTGCTCTCTTCTGACTATTAGATATCAGGAATAATTATTTCTTCATGTCAATACATGCAATACAAGATCATATTTTGCTTTTTTATTGTACTTTTGGCATCATACTTCATTCTGTGCTTCCAGTAACATCCATTATGGAATTAAGCGTCTTCAATCAATAAATTTTTAACACAGGTATTGCTCAGTCATAAATCTCAAAAGTCATACAAAATTAAGGAAGCTATATAATTGAATTTAACAGTGAGATGTAATAAAAACCTGAAGAGTTTTTAACTGTTTTAAGAGAATTGTTCCACAAGCAACAGAATTATCGAAGAAGGTCATTTTTCTTTTCTATGATGTCCCCTAACCACCCCAAAAATATGAACTCCTCCTTCCTCACTCTCACATCCCTTATGTAAAAGATACCATAGCCTGTGGGTAACCTCTATGTACTAGCTGATCATTGAAAATACACGCACTGGGCTAGCTGACAAAGGCAATGACAGGTATCTTTCTCTTTCGCTCACTAAAGCATTAATTTCAATACCTCTCTTCTAGCTACACACCAGTTTTCATGAACCTATATAGGAAATTGCCTCTGGGTTTTAAAGAAATATTTCATGTACCTTGGTTCTGTGCTCTTAGCTGGATCATGAGTGAAGAATTAAAATTCTCAGCAAAGCTGTTGTCAAACTCATTCTTCTCTGATATTATACTAGAATTTGTTTCGTTTTCCCATGGAAAAGAGGATGCTGCAGAACTTCCCCTTGCAGGTGTTGCTTCATTTCTAGATGGTGTCTTTTCTTGTTGCCATGAAAACACAGATGAGGAAGCCTGATGCCGAGCAATCTCCCTGTGACTCAAAGAGCTTTGAGGTTGAGGCTGATTTATTTTCTGTGTCCAAGAAAAAAAAAAGGATCAACCTTCACATAGCTCCATATTCAACTTATTAAAAAAATTATTTATTATATAAAAGATAAAAGGTTGTGGTAATTTCACATTTTTATAACACCACATCATCCATCAGTGCAAACTACTGTTTCATAACTATTTTTTATACTACATAAATTCAGTAACTTTAACCCAAGTATCCAAGAAAAGCTGATACTTACAAACACAAACCAGGATCTTCAAAAGTAGTTTGATATGTGTATCTTTATAAGTAACACACCCAGATTTTTGTCTTTTTCAAGAGAGATCCCATCATTTACCTCCTACATTTTTCAAAATCAAAGCCTACATTTTTATAGGCAAATGCTGACACAAGCAAGCTGCAAAAAATATAGAAGTCTAGACTAACATATCTTATAACTGACCCACATTTAGTTCTTCTGGATAAACACAGGTAAATTCAGAACAGACTTATTTATTTAAATGTATAAACACAGAATAGCCAAAAACTGCAATAGTGAAATATGCCAGCTACCAGCTTTCAACCTCTTCCCGCAGAAGGATTAAATAATATTTAATTAGCCAAAATATAGGTGAAATACAGCCAAAATACTAGGTGTTTTTCTCTCCTTAAGTGAAAAAAAAAAAAAAAAAAAAATGGAAACACAAAGCATCTATTGTATTTTTAAACTGAATTTTCAGATTACTCTTATTTGTACTTTTAAACTAAAGCCCTATACCAGGTAATACCCAGCCTGACTTTTCACTCCAACTAGGAATAGGATGCTATGTAGGAATAGCCAGAAACCTCTATAGTCCAGAATACTGTTGGTAAGTAAAGTAACTTGTTGATAGATAAACCTAACCTTGCATATAGTAATCATTCCCCTTATATACCATTTAAATTTACAGAGTCTCTCAGACAAAAGTTTGAATCCAAGAAATTAAGGGAAATTAATAATCATTTTTACTTAAATACTTTACATGTACTTTCTTATTGCATCAATAAACATTGATTTAAGTTTCTAACAATTCGCCCAGGACAAAAAATTGGCCTGACTAAACTACATTTCTAAGAATCAGCACTGTATGCTTTTTTAAAAAACTGGCATCATCCTTGTTACCTTCCAGTGTCAAGAGAAGAATGAAATAAGTTACACATCACAGTGATTCAGCAGTGCCACACTGCAATGCCCTGTCAATTTATGGGTAAATATTATGTGTATCTGGGGAATTTTTCTATTACTATTCATTTTATCAATCTATTTTAAGACTACTTCTGACTTTTCAATTAGAGGCTGCGCCACAGATCCAACCCCAATAAAGAAAGGCTCTGATGCAGAAAATTTTTAAGCCTGTAGATAGTAAATACCAAATAAAAAATTATTTCAGCTTTTCAGCAATGGCTCTTTTTTCCTTGAGGGCTTTCACATCTTAGTCATCTATTGGCCTTAGAGATTCACATGCAGTTCCTGCTACTTATAACTTTGAAAAAATTTACTAGTTTTTATTTGCTAGGCAAGTTATTTCTCATAAACTTTTCAAGGTTATTTTATTATCCTATCATATTTAACTTGGCAAAACTGACACCATTTTCTCTTATCCTTGCTTGCATGAGGCTTCCAGGTTTTTGAAGGATGTGTTCTCTATTTTTAATGTCCTTCTTTCTTTTGCTATTCAATTCTGCTGGCTTTTCTGGATTCTCCAAGGTTACTTCTGAATGGCGGTACACACAGATTAATTATATTTTTTAAAAATATATTTTAAGTGCTGCAGAGTATATTTCACTAGTTTTCCACTCAATTTTCCAAGTTCACTCAGTAGTTACTTTCTTAGATACCACACATGCCATTCTCAAGAGATACTTACCTTAGCCTGGATGGTTCTCAGTTCTAATTCTAGCTTTTTTCTTTCTTGTACTTCTTTCTTGTATTTCTCTTCCAATTCTCCAAACTTAGCATCTACAAAGACATGATGAATACTTCTTTAAAATCTGACTTAGTATATAGGTAATCTTTTCTAGCCTATTGCTATCACAGGATAAAAATGAACAGTTAGTAATGTCAGATCATGAGGAAGAAACCATTGTATACACAATAAGTTCAGTAATTTAGGACCTCAAAAGTACACTGATGGGATATCTGGAACTTGACACTAGAATGAAAACAGAACTGTTTAAAGTAAGGATTGAATGCCAGAATTTTATTTTTTAATCTCTCTCTCTAAAAAAAGTGTTTGTATATATATATATAATATATATACACATAAAAAAATATATATAACATAGATGTGTTACATTATATATACTCATACATACAGATTATATGCTTTTTTTTTTTCCTTAAAGTCTTCCTATCAGCAACCCAATAGCATTGACCAGAAAATAAGGCTGGACCTTTTCCTTGAGTTCCTTTCCAATGCAATAGGAATTGGACAAAGATTTATTTAGGATTGTTCTGCTGAAATTGTAAGAGGAATACATCAGTCCAAAACAAGTCTCACTTCCCTTTTCGTGAATTTGTATGTAATTCTACAACTCTCTCAAGAAAGTTCAAGAAGTAGAATGCTTCATAACATTCTAAGGAGCAGCTGAGGGAAGTGATTGTCCCACTCTACACTGCACTGGTTCAGCCCCACTTCGAGTGCCATGTGCAGTTTTGGGAGCCTCAGTGTAAGGAGGACATCAAACTACTAGAGTGTGTCCAGAGGACAGTAACCAAGACCGTGAAAGGTCTTGAGGGCAAGACTTACAAGGAATGGCTGAGGTCACTTAGTTTGTTCAGCTTGGAGAAGAAAAGGCTGAGAAGTGACCTCATTGAAGTCTACAACTTCCTCAAGAGGGGCAGCAGAGAGGGAGGTGCCGACCTCCTCTTTCTGGTGACCAGTGATAGGACATGAGGAAATGAAATGAAGCTGCATCAGGGGAAGTTCAGATTGGACATTAGGAAAACGTTTTTCACTGAGGGTGTGATCAGTCACTGGAAGAGGCTCCCTAGGGAAGTGGTCTTGGCACTAAGACTGTCAGAGTTCAAGGAGCATCTGGATGATGTTCTTAGTCATATGATTTCGTTTTAGGTAGTTCTGAAAGGAGCAGGGAGTTAGAATTAATGATCCTTAGGGGTCCCTTCCAACTTGAGATATCTTATGATTCTATGATCTTAAAGAAGTTAAGACTCCAGCTTTCAAAGGAAAAAAACCTCCCTAGCAATACCATTTTAAATACAATTATTTAAATCATTTTGATCTAATCTCCATTTCAAGAGGGCCACTCTTAGTGGAATGCTTGACATTGTCACCACTGTATCCCTTTTCAAATACATATAAAGAAATTAAAAGGAACAAGAGTGCAAGAAAGTATCTCAGATTTCCCATCAGAGTAAGACTGAGAAAAATCTTTCAGTGTAGACAGCATAAGGGTGTCTGGCTACAGAAGTTCTTCAGTTAAGGAAATAGCCTTTCACTTTTCCAGTTCATTCAAATATTTTAAATCTATTTGATGTCACTAATTTGAAGATAGAAGTGATGCTTTGAAGTGGATACAGTGCATAAAATGTGCAGATTATCAAGCACAATAATAATCTAAAAATAATTTTCTAAAGAAATAACACGTCTGCTGACTGAACTTTAGTCAAAGCACCCGTGGTACCTGAAGAAAGAAACCTTCTCTTCACTACATGAAGGGAGGAGTTGACATTAGGAACAGGCATTCAAAAAAATTGCTGTAGTCTGTTGGTGGATGTTCCTATTACTATTCCATGTCTATCAGCACAGTGCTGAAAAGATGTAATACTTGCAATGTGTTCAATCTGTACTAACAATTTTTAAACTTGGAACTTATGGTGCTATGAATTAGGTGCCCTCATAAGAAGCTATAGAATAGGAACTAGGCAAGTCAGTACAAGTGTAACGTTCAAAATACTCTTCCACCTTCCAAGAAAACTGACAGTTAACTGTCTGTGCTAGATGAAGAAAAATTCATTTACCACTATGACCTTGAACTGGTGTTAAAGAAGCGGTAAAACTTTTCTGTGGAGTGCCACCAAATGATAAATCTCCTGCAATCGATGTTTGCTGACTTCTCTCAAGTTCACTTTTGTATCTGTTTAGGAAAGAAACAGCAGCAGAAATTAGTAATGGAAACTAAAATATCAAAAGCCTGAAATACACAAATAAATTATATGATTCTAAGAACAAGTCAAGATACATCCACTGAAAATTTTTAGGTACAACAAGACAGAAATATGAAGAATATACCTTATTTAGTTTCTACATATTTAATCAATTACATAGGAGTCAAAGCTAAAAAACAAAACCAAATTCAAAGTAGGTGAAAAACAGTTAGAACTGCTTAAGATCTCACTGTGTGAAGCTCTAGTCCAGCTACAACACTCAAAGCACTGTACACACTGACAATATAAAACTCTCGTTCTTCAGTAAGCATCTTTATGGCAGGAAACAAGTATAATACTTTTATTCTATGTTCTGATATTGCACATTTTGAGAAATTTATGCAAACCTCATGAAAATGGAAGGGAATACCCTCCACCCGACAGTGGGTTTTTCATGTGTACCATTTTACATTGCTACCTAAAACACCACAGCAGACTACCCATGCCAGTGATTTTTGTAAGCATGAAGAGTTAAAAGCTCTTACAGTGAAACCAGATAACTAGTTTGGAGGTTATACAGCAATTTTCAGTCCTGCTCAGCAAGTACAGGTTAGTAAGATAACGGCTCCAGGCTGCAGACCATCACATCAGTGACTCCACAACTTGCCTGTTTTCCCTCCCTTTTAAAGCACAACACCAAGAACTCCTCTGCCAGCAGATTGTCAGTTGCTACGAAGTAGCAAGTGATCAGTTATCAGCATAAAACAAAACAGAACCAAATACAAAACCAAAACTGATCTTTAAGATCAAGCTACATAGAGTAACTGATGATCTTTTGTAGCATACAGCTATACAAAGTAATATAACAGGAAGGAGAGAATTTACTAAACTGGACTTAATTATAGGAATGGATGAATGGAACACTTCTTTAGCCTGCAACCTCTCTGGCCCAACATTTGACAGCAGATTTCAAAAACACGAGTTTGGTTCTACCCACTCTGTTGATCCTCACTAGTTTCTTGTTTGACAGATCACAGAATGGTTGGGGTTAGAAGGGACCTTAAACATCATCTCATTTCAACCCCCCTGCCATCAGCAGGGACACCTTCCACTAGACCAGGTTGCCCAAAAACCTCATCCAACCTGGCCTTGAACAATTCCAGGGAGGGGACATCCACAACTTCTCTGGGCAACCTGTTCCAGTGTCTCACCACCCTCACAGGAAAAAATTTCTTCCTAATATCTAATCTAAACCTACCCTCTTCCAGTTTAAAGCTATTTTCTCTTGTTCTAGCCCTACCTGGCCTTGTAAAAAGTCCCTCCCCAGCCTTCCTGGAGGCCCCTTCAAATATTGGAAGGCTGCTATAAGGTCTTACTGGAGCCTTTTCTTCTCCAGGCTGAAGAGCCCAACAAGATCTCAGCAACTCCTTACACAAAGCTGGTGTTTCTAGAGGTCACAAATTGTTTTGCTGATATTTCTTCTCCATCTTCAACTATCTTCAGTTTTCCCAAAGCAGTTGGGGCAGCGAAGGGAAAAAAACAGAAAGGCCAACAGAGTTTCCTCTTTATTTGCTTCTGTTAGGACATGTACAAGGCATATCATCCAGAAGTTAAAGAAAAGACAGAGAGGGAAACGAAACGAATCTACCCACAACACACAAAAACCAAACCTACAAACAAAAACCAAACCATTAAGAAATCTAGTATTAGAGACTCACCCCTCTCTCATTCAAGAATGGAGGGTCTCTCTAGTAGAAGAGCAAGTTTAGCAGATGAAAACACTCCCCTCACTATGAGCAACTGTTACATTTATTAACACCCTCAGACGAAGGATTTTAGATATGTCTGCATTACAGAAGATTCTTTTACTGTATGAATTGCATTCCATCTCTACAGACAGTAGATGCAGGTGGTGTCAATAATAAGTGTTTACAAGTTGAGGTGTTTGAATTAGGCACTTCTTTACCAAAGCAACAGGATTCAGTCACAGCACCATTGCTTTTGGTAGCTTCCTCTTCCACTCCAATAGACATTTACACCTCCTTCTTCCAGCCATCATATACTATTGGTAGACTTGATCTTACAGAATAGATTCTCTGTGTACTTTTCTTACAACTCCAAGCTCTTTGCAAGTTATTTTTATCAAGTGAGTCAATTGTGTTAGCTTTTTTTTTATTTAAAAAAAAATAAAAATTACAGAATGAGTAGACACCTTTTCATATGACACTGCAGAATTCCCCCAATTTAAACAGGAACTAGAGCTGCTAACTGCTTCAAGTGGCACATAAATTTACATGGAAGTCTGTATATGCATGTATGAACATAAAAACTGGCCAATATTTTGAAATTCTGATCACAAAACCTGAATGAGGTATGAGATGAAGAGAAACTAGAAGACCAGAAAGGACACATTAAATGAGCAAAACAACTATTTGTACATAGGTTAGAGACATACAGCAAGTCCTCACCTTTTCAGTTCTTGTTCTAGCCTTTCAATGTCTTTCTTGCTGGAATTCAGCTGCCCTGACTGTATGTTGACTTGAGATTCTTTTACTTGAAGATCATGTGAAATTTTCTGCTTTGCTTTCTCAAGGTTATCACACAATTCCATCAAGCTCTGGTTCTCTCTTTTTAGTGTTGCAGCTTCATTTTTTTCATTTTCAACCTAGTTGGAATATAGACCATTTAAAAAAAAAAGTCTCAAGTCCTCTCTACGCTTCTGTGCAAATTATCTTAATAACAAAGTTTTCACACTGTTACTTTCTTCCTAGTGTCTCAAAATCCTGACAGCACTGGGAACCCCAGATACACACATTGTTTAAGTATCCTTGGCTGTGAACAAAACCACATTTCCTAAAATTCAACTCGGTCATATTAAAAATTTTGACTTACTGACTAGAAAGAAGCTCATGAAAATGTCAGCAATCCTTAAATACTAATAATCCACATTAGTCTGCATTCTTCACTGATCATCTTGCTCTCTTTCCTGTCTGTTAACTTTAACAACCAGAATACCTTGACTCACTAAACAGAGAATGCACAATGATTATCAAGAGTTGCAGCTTTTAAATTGTAAATAGAGCCTGACAGTAGGATGTCCTTCTCCTCCTCTCCAGCTTCTGAGGAGCAGACTACAGTCAGGCTACATCTTGGCACAGTGTTATAATTTTGACTAGCTGCTGCTTCTAGAATTTTAAAGCACAGCTATTTGAGCACACTTCTAGTTTGGGGAGCACAGCAGTACCTCTGGATGGTTGAGACAAGTACCTGGAAACTCACAGGAAGAAATTCCAAGAAAAATGCTAGGCTTAAGTTTTGCTAGGAAACAGTAACAGTCTAAAGGGAGTAAGAGGCAAACTTTGTAAACTCTCTCTGAGCTGTATTCAAATATTACAAAACAGAATTCAACCAAATGAGTCACTTCTGATCTGAAGCATCAAAGAACCCTGACCAAGAAGGTCTCTGGTTTCCTGGCAGGGTAGAGCCAGGTGAGGTGTACTGGCCTTGTAAAAAGAAAGAACAAAAAAAAACCCCAAACAAACAAACAAACCCAAAAGCACCAAACATGGAAAAAACAAATCCCAAAATGCATTCTCTACAAGGAGAAATTGGATATCTACATAAACTAAGTAAAAGATGAGCTAGATAGCTGTACACACGCAAGGTAAAACAGAAAGAGGCTGTCAACTGTGCAGCTCTATTATATAAAACAGGCCTAGTCATTATCAAGATTGTTAAAGATAATTAACAAAGTAATTTCTTCAAGATTTTTAAATAGGCAAAACAATAAAGTAATTTATTCTCCTAATCCTAAACGGAAGCCTGGAAGAAAGCCTCAAAGTAAATATAAACACCTGGAGATGGACAATCATGCTAAAGACTTGGAGAGAAGAGACAGGAATTCTCTCAATAGTTAATGAGAACTAAACAGAACGGAGAATATGATGAGTAAGAAATATGATGAAGATAAGCAGTTTAGACTTCTATGCTACCTTCCCAGTCAGTGTAAAGAAACGAAATGCTAACCCACCCTCTAACAACAGCCAGATAATAAATCTTTATAATTGTGTTTGGCATGGAGAATGGCATTCTAGGGAAATGACCACAGTACCTATATTACCTTCTGTTTCTGTTTTTGCAAAGCTGCCTCCAAGGACTCTAACTGGAATTGTCTTTGCTGACGCTCCTTTTTAAGCTTGTCTACTTGACTTTCCAGCTCATGAATCTTCTGAAGGACTCTGGGAGAGAGGCCTTCTTTCCATTCCTCCACAGCCCAGCTCATATCGACAGGATTCTTGTTTAATACAAAATAGATAGTACTATGCCTGAAACACAAAGACAACCACAATTAGACCTCGAAAGAGGTTAAATAAGCCACTCTCTTAAATAAATTCCACGTTTAAGCTTAGCATTGATTAGAATACAGGATTTTGAAACCTTGAGTTGCAAGCTTCCTGATCTAAACACCAAGGAGCAACTTTTAATATTAGGTCCACTCCCTTATGAGGAAAGGCTGAGGGAGCTGGGTCTCTTTAGCTTGAAGAAGAGGAGACTGAGGGGCGACCTCATTAATGTTTATAAATACGTTAAGGGTGAATGTCAGGAGGATGGAGCCAGGCTCTTCTCAGTGACGCCCAATGATAGGACAAGGGGCAATGGGTGTGAGCTGGAACACAGGAGGTTCCACTTAAACTTGAGAAGAAACTTCTTTACAGTGAAGGTGATGGAGCACTGGAACAGGCTGCCCAGGGAGGTTGTGGAGTCTCCTTCTCTGGAAACATTCAAAACCCACCTGGACACCTTTCTATGTGATCTCATTTAGGTTCCTGCTCTGGCAGGGGGATTGGACTAGATGATCTTTCGAGGTCCCTTCCAATCCCTAACATTCTGTGATTCTGTGACACACTCCAAGATGAGATTTTTAAAACCTCACATTAACGAGTCTCTGAACAATAACAGTTTATATTCTTATAATTACATTGGACTGCTGTACTTCAGAAAGTTTCTCTCCACATCTTATTTTGACATTCACATTGCAGAAAGTCATTAGCACTCATACCTGCATTGTACTTCAGTGGTGTTTAGCCTGAAAGCCTCACAAAACCCCACGGCTTTGTTTTAGGTGGCAGCTGTGTTTCTTTCTTTACGGAAGTTTTTCAAACCAATACTGCTGAGCTCGGGGCACTGGCAGGAACAGCTGTACGGTACTTACACGCATATGATTTTACTTGTTGTTGTAATAACTCCGCTTTTAGAGGATCGGGCACGGGCTCGCTTTCTCGAGACACTGGCACAACTCGGAGATCATCTGCGAGAGAGAAATTCCCTCAAAATAACTAAAACCAGAGATCAAGGGCGGACGGACAGAGCCCACCCGAGACTGGGGGCTCGGCGTGTTACGAACCTCACTGGGCTTGACCCTCGGGGCAGGGAGCGGCTCCT